GTTCCTCTCCTGCTTAGACGGCTCAGAAGAAGCTTCTGATGATGTTTTGCATTAACTGAAAGACAAATTGCACCCTCTCAGAATTAGTGGATCCGAGCAGACCTGGAGAATGTTAACGCCTTGGTAGGAAATGTAACAGTTTGGATAAAAATGTTCTTTCAGGCTCACATGAATTAATGCAGTAAGAACTCTAAACTTGTTTTCTTTTAAATTAGGATGAGTGCTTCATGAATATCCATCACAGAATGCCATTTTATTTATTTTTTTTCCCTTGCATTGGGTTTCAGTAGCACCAGAATGTTTCATGCAGCCCTGGTGTTATTTGGCTACTGCTTTCTAAAGGATTAGATTGTAAGTCATGACAGCTCAATTTTAGTTTTAATCTAGACCCAGGCAGAAATACCTAGAAAAGTTATTTTTATATAGTTGTTACTGCTGTTACCATGCCTTTCTTTCGTCTGCAGTGCCTCAATCTGTGGTCTTTTCAGTGACTTTTTGTGTGAGAATGAAAGTTAGAGATCTTCAGGTTTCCAGTGCCTGATGGAGAAAGCCTAGTTTGGGCTGTGCCTCAGGTATCAGCAAGTGACTAAAGCCAGCAGGTGCAAATCTGGGTTTGAAACCTTGAGCATCTTGATTGAGAATAATAGGTACCTCCTGTTGCCTTAAACAACTTCCAAATTTGTAACTTTCTTTTCTTTTCTTGGAAGTGTAACTGGGTATTTTTAAACAAAGTGTAGCATATTGTGGAGCAAATTAGAGTGTTTATAGGTTAGGTGGGAATAAGTTACCTTGTTAGATTTTGCCTGTTGGCAGAGACTATCCAACATCTCTGGGGTCTTCAGAAGGAAAAGTTGAGAGCTGAGGGTGCGGCTATAGTGGCAGTCTATGAATTTTGAGCCCCCAGCTCCATTTAGGTTGCATCAGCTGACATGTACTGAGAGCTCCCTGTGGCAGACACGCTGCTGGGCACTAGGCACACAGCCCCTGCCCTCAGAGAGCTCACCACCAGCATGTGAAAGCTCAGCAGCGTGGGAGGCTCACAAGGGCAGCATATCTCTAATTGCTTAGTTTTATACACTTTTACTTTTGTTCTGGTTGTCATGGGGAGACAGTTTCAGGGCTGTACCCAAGAATGTTGCAGCGGGGATTTCAACACATGGGTGTTTTGCTCGGGTGACATTTAGGAGTCCCTTCTCAAATCTTTAGGTTCTCTTCGGAATGGGTCAGCAGTGTGAGAGAATGTCACTATTTTTCATTGTTCAGTTTTCTCCTAGCTTCACAGAATGCATGGTGCAGAATTTTAGTTAAGATTAAGTCAATGGAAATGATCTTTTAGGAGAGGGCTAGTTGTGGATGTTACCTCCCCCATCACATACTGTGCTACCATGCATCTTACAGGAGCATATACCTTTCCTGTTCTCAGCCATCTCTTTTCTGTTTTTTTCCCCCTGAGTAACCTCATCTTACCACAGTGATCCTCAGTTAGTACGGTTTTTGGTCCTCAGTTAATACAAAGTCAGTATTTCCAGGTCTCATGTTTCTCTGCAGCTGGAGCCCCATATTTCCCACTACCCAGTGGGCAACCTAAACTCTGCTTGTCCTGGCTGAGCTGACTTGCCTCCCAGAGTGGTTATCATGCCTCAGTCTCTAGCTGCTGTCGATTTCTTCTTAGGACTCATATTCACTTTGGCTACTGCCAGGATTCAGTTTGAGTTCTCTGAGTGTCCACAGCCCTCTGCCTTCCAACCGTAGTCTTCCCTTTTCTTGTCCTTCCCTGTCCTTGAGTCCTGGCCCCTCTGCTCGCTAGACCTCAGATGCTGTACATTTCACTCTGCTCTGCTCCTGCCATTCCTTCTGTCTGGAGTGTTCTTTCTGTTTCATTTGAAATGCAAGACCCTGTTCAAAAATATCTTCCACCGTGAATTTTTTCTTTGTTCTATTTTGATTTTTAAAAAATCTTTTTGGTCAAAAGTAATCAGTCTTATTATTCTTCATAGTTCTTTGTTTCTGCCTGTGTAACTGTCTGCTTGATATAGTAATTATACATTTGCAGCCCATCTTTCTCCTCTAGATTCATTGGTTTAAAACATATATATTTAGGTAAAAACCTACGTGTCTTCAAAAAAACTTTTAGTGAGAATAATAGTTATGTAATAAAAAATTCAAAAGGTATAGAATAAAGTCTTTTCCCTTCTCTCCCCCCAGTTTTTAGTCCTTCTTCCCAAAAGAGACTGCCATTAATAGTATGATACAATCCCTTCCAGAATCAATACAGCAGTATATACCTATTCTTGTACGAAATGTACATGAAGGGAATCACATATATACATACATATGTCTTGCTGTTTTGGGATAAATCATAGAGCTCTTTCCATATTAAAGCATACAAATCTATCTGTTCTTTTTAATGGCTACATAGCATTTCATTTAAAAAAAAACCAGTCTCCTTTTGGGGTGGTGGTTTTTGGTTTTGTTTTCCTGTAGCAAAGAAAAGTACTTAGTGGACATCCTTGTTACACATACCCTAATATACTTTTGTAAATACTGTATATTTGTAGGCTCAATTCCTAGCCATTACTTGTGGACCAAAAGGCAAATACCTTCGGTAGATATTATCAAATTATCAGTCAGGATTATACTTGCCAGCTCTTTTAAAATGTGTGCATGGCTGTTAGGTTAAAAATGGTATCTCATTATTCTTTTTGTAATTCAAATGTCTTTAATCATGAATAAAGTTAAACCTCAAACATCTTTTCATATTCTTTTTGTCATTTGTCTTTTTTTTTTAACTGTCCTTTGCCCATTCTTCCATAGAGTTTTTTGTGTCAGCCTAATTTGATTTATAAATTAAGGAATTTGGAAAAATAGTTCTTTGTCAAATATGGATATATTTTCCCTCATTATGTCATTTATCTTTTGGCTTTTTGGGAAGAAGATTTTTTTTTTTTGTCATATACTTTTATGTTGTCAAATTTATTTGTCTTTGCCTTTGGGGCTTCTGGGATTTATGTCATGCTTAGAAAGGCCTTTATGTCAATATTGTAAATAAATTCATGCATGTTTTATTTTAGTTATTTTTTGGTCATAATCAACTCTTATAAAAACACTGGCATAAAAATACAGTGGCATTAAATGGAAAATCATAAGATTCTCCATACATTCTCTGATACTTTACAAGAAATCAGTAAACATGCAATACCTTTGAAAACTCGAGGAGCTGTTTTCCTTTGATGGGCATTTTATTTTATGTGACCCTGTAGTGCCATCGTATATAAGGGCATTCATTGCCTTCCTGCCAGAGCAGGGGGGAAAGGAAGAGCTAGAGTCCCTGGTTTCCTTTCACCTTCTCAGGATCAGCAGCGAATGTCAGATGATGGTCTCTTGTTTTCCCTGTCTTTGCAGAGTGTCTCTTTGTTCTAAAGCTCCTTCAGGTAAAGTGTGTTTTATTCTTAGGAAGCTTTGGAATCTAGATGAGGTGTATCATCCCCTTGTTTGGTGCATTTCAGAGCAGTGTCTTGTCCTGATGCACTGGTTCAGCATATGTGTTCTGTAGCTTTTGGAATGGGACCTTGCAGATTTTAAGTAGCTTACTTAGCCTGTTGTGATTTGGTCTTGCATCAGACTTTATTTTCCTCTGTAGAGCATGCATGTGTGTTTGTTTCTAGAACCCTCTCCTTCACTTTTCACTTCAGGTCCGTGGGAGGAGTGTCCCAGGCTGACTCGAATGGTAATTTACAGGCCAGCAGCGCTCTCCCTGTAGCTGTGCCCACAGTGCCTCCCTGTGTGAGTGGCCTCCCTCCTCCGCTTGCACAGTCAGCTGTAACTCCACTGCCTGTGTCTATGTTCTTCCCAAAACTGCTCACTTTCCCCTGTGCTCTCCTTGCTGGTTTGGCTTCCCTGTGTGCTGTCCTCCAGGACTTTCACACTCAGCTTCCTTGCTGCACGGTCAGTCCTAGGTAGCCCCTCGCAGTTTGCTCTTGCTCTCAGAACCTCCGTGTCAGGGTTACTTTGAGTTCTGTTGAACTTGGGCTCAACCCTGTGTTGTCTTGGCAGCATCTACTCTCTGTGATTTTCACCTTCAAACACCAAAAGGACTGCCTTTCTTGAGCCCTAGATCTGTGGTTTCTAATTAATTGAGGCTTTAGCATAGAAAGATAGCTTTTTATCTAGAGCAAGTAAAACGAGCCAGGGTAAGGGGCTCTGAGGAGGAAAGGGAGGTAATAGCTGTGGATATGGAAGGCATATCAGCTGTGGGGCCAACCTGGGACTTTGTCTCTGCTCATAGCCCTACTGGTGATTTTATCTAGAAAAGAAGGAGATTTTGATCTAGAAAGAGGGGGCTATAGTAAATTCCTTGGGCTGAAATTGCTTGGTCACAGGAGTTGTGCATTTGTAATTTTGATAGCCATTATTAAAATGCTCTCATTTGCCCTCTTCCACCCTGGACAGCAATAGGAGATGTTTGCTCCTGTTCCCATCCCCATCCCTTTCCCTGCCCACCTCCCTAGGGCAGGAATGTCACCTAGGACAAGCTTGCTTCTCCAGCCTTTTCCTCAGCTCCTTCTTACCTCCTTCCTCTGGCCCAGCTATTCTGTCCCGCTGTGTGGGGGCCTAGGTGGGCAGGCTGCAGAACAGTCCTGGGAAAGTCATCCTCTTGGAGGCTCAGTTTCCCCATCTCTAAAATGGGGATAATTGCACCTGCCGTATGGGGAAGGGTCTAGAGGATTCAGAGACATAATGCCTACTAAGCCGTTACAACATGCCTGGCAGACGTCATGCATTCTGTAAGTGGTTGTTGGTGGCGGCGGTGGTGGTGGTGGTGGTGGTGGTGGTGGCGGTGGTGGCGGTGGCGGCGGTGGCGGCGGTGGTGGTGGTGGTGGTGGTGGTGGCGGTGGTGGTGGTGGTGGCGGCGGTGGTGGCGGTGGTGGTGATGGTGGTGGTGGCGGTGGTGGTGGTGGCGGTGGCGGTGCTGGTGGCGGTGGTGGAGGGACTTCCCTAGGTAAAGGGGGAAGGCTGAGCTCTGTGGTGGGAGGGGCAGTTGTCCCCTTTTGCAGTTGCTGAGGCCAGTGGGCGTGGGGGCTGGGCCTGTGGACACGGGACAATGGGACTGCCCACGTCAGAGGTGCTCCTTCTAGTGGTCACCCAGAGGCTGCGTATGAGGTGAAAGCTGCTTCCATGGGTGTGACATTATTCTTTATAAGAAAATAAGAATTCTGAGGTAAGAAATTAAAGAAATTGAAAGAGCAAGAAGATTGTCTTCCCTTTGGTTGAGTGAGCAGAAGAGGCCTGTGAGGTTTGAGGAACTTCCCAACAGACCATTTCAGTGAAGTCCTCTCCATGTCTTTTTCAAAAGAAGTATTTCACATTCTTATCCAGAGTATATATAGATTTTATAAATGAAAACACAATAAGTATTGTTAAAGTATTAATGGTACCAAAGAAAAACATCCAGTTTATGTGTGCTTGTTTTTTAAGTGAAAATGCTACAATGTAAATGTCTGGTTTGTGTGTGGTTTTTTTGCCTAATGTGGCAGAAAGACCTATGATTAATCTGCTGAATTAAAGAATACTGATTCTGATGTTTTTAGTGAATGTAATAATCAAATTCATTATTGTTTTCTGAAGCAGCTGCAAACTTAATCTAAATGAAAAACTAATATAAATCACTACTCTGCATTATCAAAAATGAATTCCATTCCCATATCTCTCTGAGTGGGGAGGAATCTGCATTAAGCCTGTGTCAAACTGCAAGACTGGGACTCTTACTCATTTTTGAATTCCCTCTGGTTTTGTGTATGCAGGAGATTGATATTGAATGAGTATTTCCTATAAATGTAGTAAAAATAATTTAAATTCCCAGTCAGTATGCCATTTAGTGATTGCAATTAAATCTAATACTTGTAGCACATATGACAAAAGGCTAATTTCCTTAATTCGCAAAGAGCTCTGACAATTCAATAAAAAAGGCAAATGTGGGCAAAGGATGTGAATATGCAGTTCAAAGACAGACTTAGACAAACTGCCATTAAACATGAGAAAACCTCATTTATAATTAATACATACACATCAAAACAACGAGGTACCGTCCTTCACCTATCTGCATGGCAAACGTGAAAAGGTTACCTAGCAGCAGTTATGGCTGAACAGGCCCTTCCCTGTTCTGCTGGTGAAAGGATAGTTGCTGCCACCTTTGAGAGGGTAATTTGAAATTATCAGTTGAAATGAAAAACTAACCCTACTAATCTCTCTGCTAGGAGTTGAGGCTACAGATTTACTTACAAAAGAAAACCAAGATGTGTGTAATATATGTAGTGATTCTGTGTTTGTAATGGTTATTTAAATTGTTTCCTGTTTGTGGTATAAACTGGGAACTGTTAAGTACACAGTGACACAGCCATCCATGGAATACTATGAAGTTGGAAAAAATGAGGTTGATGAGTATATGCTGCTATGGAAAGATTTTAAGGTATATTAAATACATTTCTTTAGAGCAGCATGCAGAACAGTTTATGCTGATAGATGTTTAAAATTTTCTCTGAAAGAACACCCAAATGCTCCTACTAGTGATTATCTTTGGCAAGAGGAGCTGGGGCTTGGGGAGAGTTTTGATATTCATTTTATATTTTTCTGTTCTATGATTTGAAGTTCTGCCATATGCATACATTTTATTTTAAAGATTAAATTAATTAAAAATTAATGTTACTCACCTGAGAATGTTGAATGTGAACTGTATTGAGGAAAAAAAAAGAAAAATTAATGTTACTTAGGTTTAGGCCCACTGACATTCCATATAGGGGAGAAATCAAGACTTGCAAGAAACCAGTCAGTAGCCTATGTTGGGAAACTGTATATACAGAGGGCTGGGGGGTCATATTTGAACTTTATGTCCCTACAAGAGGTTATGGCCTCCTCTATCTCTGGACCACTGGACCTGATAAATCTGGTCATCAGGTGTAGAACTTGTGATTGATTATGTGTTTTGCTCTCTTTAGCCTGGTCATGTGTCTAGGACTGAAATTAACTGTAGGGTCACTGTGTGCCAGTCATTTAGAAGCTTCTTATTCAAGAGTGTTGCTTGTTAGCAGCTCTAGGGAGGAGTCTTTGAATCTCATTGTCACTGTCAAAAGGAAGTGTTAATGCAAGGGAGAGGAAAGTGAAGCACTTCCTTTCTCATTTTGCAGAAAAATGGAATCCCTCTCTTAGGTGTTAATCATGGTGTTTTGTTTCTCCCAGTGATTTTCTTTCAAGTGCAGCTCTCCACTTTTCTGAGAAGAGAAAAAGCCACACAGAGGAGGAGGAAACCTCATTAGGAAGCTGTTTTTCAGTCTTACATCCTATTTCAGAAATGCTTTATTGCTTTCCTTTCTCTACTGATTTTTGCCCAGGAGTCCATACCTCTAAAAAGCCTGAACTCACCTTCCTTGTGCCTTTTCATTCCAAAAGTCACTGTACACACCCTGTGTTATGAAAATGCTGTAATGAATAGGTAACATTTGACCACTTGAGTTGTATTTTTTTTACGTTTTGCCAATTTATGAAAATTTTTTTCTCTATATTTAAAGGCTATTTTTTATTTCTTTTTTAAAGCATCTGTTCTTAGTCTTTGCCCATTTTTAATTGTTATATTTGGCTTTTATTGGTTTGCGAGATACTTCTCTACTGTGTATGTTGTAAGTATTTTTTGTAATTTGTCTCTATCCTTTTTTTTTTTTTTGCTAAAAGGTATTTTTAGATATATAAAAGTTTTATTTCTGTAGTTAAACCTATATTTTTTCTAGTATCTTTGTATGCCAAGAAATTTTTAGAGGTTATTTTGGGGTCTTCTGTGAGGAAGGGATCTGACTTTATTCAGATTCTCTAAAGCATCAACTATTTCAGTAATTCTTCCTTTCTTGCTGATTTGAAATGGCCTCCAAGGCCATCTCAGTCTGATTTCTACCTTGACAGCCTCTTGAGGCCTCTGCCCTTCCCCTAGTGCCTTGTCCCCGCTGTGCCAGGACACTTCCAGCACATCCTTCCTTCCTGACTGTACATGGGATTCCTTCTGTCTGGACAATTTCCCTGCAGCACCCCCAGCACCCACAAGTATCTGTCAGCCTGGAGGTATCATCTGAAATAGAATTTATTCAGACGCCCTTCTCTCACCACTCCCTGATTATGAAAGACCTCCTAGCTCTTACTGTGAGTTAGGACGAGGGAATGACGGCTCACCTGGATGCCTAGCGTCGGACATTCAGTACACACTTACCAAATGAATTATAGCTTAATCGGACATTTTAACTTAAAACTGACACATATAAGTCTGGCTGTATTTTCTTTTTCTAAAATTTCTTTAGTATTTATTCCTCTAGATTTTCACTGTCCAGTTTGGTAGCCCTGGCCACATTGAGTACTCAAAATGTGGTTAGTCCAAATTGACACATGCTATATGTAAAATACAAATCAGATTTCTAAGGCTTAGTATGAAAAAAAGAATTTAAAATATATCGTAACTTTCTAATATTGATTACATGCTGCATGATAATGTTTTAGATATATTGGGTAAAATAAAATAATTTTTTTACTTTTAAAAAATGTAGAAAGCATTAAATTACACATGTGGTAGCTTATATTTCTATTGGACAGCAATGTTCTAGGTGAATTTTAAAATCATTTTGTCAAGTTTCTAGAAAATATTCCATTGGGCTGCATTATGTTTATACATTAATTTGGGGGGAAGTTATCTTTATAGCATTGAGTCTTCCTCTCAGAAGTATATTTTTCTTGTTGACCCTTGTTTTTAGTTTACCCCCCTCTCAGATATTTTATTTTATTTTTATTTATTTATTTTTATAGAAACAGGGTCTCTCTTTGTTGCTGAGACTGGAGTGCAGTGGTATAATCATAGCTCTCTATAACTTCCAGTTCTGGTAATCCTCTCACCTGGCCTCCCAAGGTGCTGGGATTACAGGTGCCAGCCACCATACCCCACCTCCCTCCCCCAGATAGTTTATAGTTCTGTTGCTTTATGTTGGTTGTATTTTGTTGTCATTCTCTTACCTGTTTTTTATGTACAATTTTTTAAAAGCCCTCCACTTATTAAATCCTGATTCGAACAGATTTTTCAAGTGATGCTCTTGTGTTTTCTATGTAAATTGTCTGCATGTTATAGTCATTTTGTCTCCTTTCTTTTAATGGCCCTATGCCTTCATTTTCCCTTGTTGCTTTGGGTAGAAGTTCCAGAACAATGTTAAGGAAGAATAGTGATGGCAGACAACCTTGTGTATCTTCCCATTCCTTTACTAAAGTGTTTACTAGAGTGTGCTCCAGGGAACACTAATTCTTTAGAATATTAACATGTGTACCTTGAGAGAAGAGTGCCACCATTAAATGAGTTTGTGCAACTGCTGAGTCCAACAGAATTCTTTTCTGCAGGACTTTTCAGATGGGTTATCACGCTAATGTGTTTTTTAATCCCTAGGAGGTAGGGATATTGGGGTAGTTCATAGATTTGTGTTCTACCAAATACATTTTGGGGAATACAGACATAATGTTTCCTTTTTAATGATAATGTTGCCATTGATTTGCAATAGGTAATGTTTATTAAGAAAGTATTGTTCTGTTTCTAGCTTATTGAGTATTTTTTTTCCTCGCTCTGAAAGGGCAGTTAACTTTCTCAAATGCATTTTTGGCGTAGTAGTGATTTTGGTCATATGGGTCATGTGGGTTTTTTCCTTTAACTTATTGATGTTACAAATTATATTTGTCTGTTTCCTAACGTGGCCATCCTAACATTTGTGAAGCAGCCCTTCTTGATCATATTATTGTTTTAATAGGTTGTATTTGCTAGTATTTCCCTTAGGACTTTAAAATCTATTTACTTAAATGAAGTAGACAGTTTTCTTCTTTATGCTGTTTGTCATCTTCTGGTATCAGATTTGTGCCATATGAACTGAGATGCTTTAAATGTTTTTACATGCATCTAGAACAGTGTGAACGGCCTGAAGATCATTTGTGCCTTGGCACTTCTGTTTCTTACTTAGTTCTGCCAATTTATGTTATCCTAAAAATATGTTCATTCCATACAGATTTCAAATTGATTTCAATCATAAATCTAGGATAAATAAGGGCACAGTATTCCTCTTTGACTAAAATGTTTTAACTCAAATTTTGACGTGATAAAAAAAAATTCTGATATGATGTAGTCACACTAACTGATTGATCCTTTCCTGCAGGAGTCTTAGATTTAGTTGCAGATTGTCTTGTCTTAACATTTAAAGACTTTTGCTGTGATTATGTACTATTGTTCTGCGTTATTTTCTTACTCCCTTTGCGTTTAATTTATTATTCGTTTTCGGACCTCCTGAGTTGTCATTTAATTTATTTTTAGTATTTATTATTTACTGATAAAATCTTTTGAAGCATTGGCCTTCCCTGTTACAGTTTTTTGTTGTTTCAAAACCCCAACATTTCATTATGAAAAATTTCAAACATACAGAAAAGCTGAGAGAATTTTACAATAAATACCCAAATACCTACCATCTCCAGACTCTACAGTTGTTAGTTCTTTTCTATGTTTGCTTTATCACATCTCTGTTCACCTCTTCTTTGGGGATACATTCTCAAGTAAGTTGAAGACATAAGTAAACTTCACTCCTAAACCACTCTGTTACAGATTTATGCGAGTTTTCTCATTTTCTAGGTAGTTTTATTCCTTTTTGATTTTCTCTGATTTAATGTTATACAAGAGGTGTTTAAATTTCTATTGGTTGGGTTTTTAAATCTAAAATATAATGGTTAGATCTAGATTTGTTATGTTTTGGTCAGAGAATGGAGCCTGGGCTGTATGTACTTCAGTGGTAGCTTTGAGCAGTCCAGTGCTTCAGATTCTAGGCAAGGGGAAGGAAACTTGTCCTCCGCGTGCCAGGGCTGCGAGCACTAGTGGAGGATGATGCACTTTCGGTGTGTCCATCACTCTTTTTACTCCTACTGTCTAGAAATAGCTCTTCGCTGAAAGAGACTGAGCATTGCAAGTCTCTGAATTACCATCCCAAAAGAATATAAAGGTGTGCAGAGCTGAAGGAAACAAATGGAAATCAAGACAATAATACTAAAAAGAGTTTACTCCATTCATTTTATCTAATGTGCTCTACACTTGAAAAATACCAATTAGAAATATATAAATAAAGCAGAACGTTCTTTAGATGCATTTAATAATTTTTTTACAGAGTACTTCAAATCCTCAAAAGTAGGTGAAACAGAGAAATATTTTTCCTAAAAAAATACCAATTTCTCAATCAGAGCCGAAATAGCCCTACTGTGTGTTAAATGTTTTGCTTTTGATCAAGATGAATGTTAGGCAATTATGATAGATACTAGGCTGATTGATCATTAAGTTATTTGGCTTTAGGTACATTAACTGAAACATGAAAATGTAAAAATAAGAGGCAGTACAATAGCTACAATGGTATTGTTGTTGTAAGCTTGTATTTATGCCACTTGCACTTAGTGAGGAGTCCTTGGTGAATTATGAAAACTCTCTCTTTCCGCAGAGTACGCTTCATGTCAGTAGAAATGGACAGCAGCAGTTTTATTCAGTTTGATGTGCCCGAGTACAGCAGCACCGTTCTGAGCCAGCTAAACGAACTCCGCCTGCAAGGGAAACTATGTGACATCATTGTCCACATTCAGGGTCAGCCGTTCCGAGCCCACAAAGCAGTCCTTGCTGCCAGCTCCCCATATTTCCGGGACCATTCAGCATTAAGTACCATGAGTGGCTTGTCAATATCAGTGATTAAAAATCCCAATGTGTTTGAACAGTTGCTTTCTTTTTGTTACACTGGAAGAATGTCCTTGCAGCTGAAGGATGTTGTCAGTTTCCTGACTGCAGCCAGCTTTCTTCAGATGCAGTGTGTCATTGACAAGTGCACGCAGATCCTAGAGAGCATCCATTCCAAGATCAGTGTTGGAGACGTTGACTCTGTTACCGTCGGTGCTGAAGAGAATCCCGAGAGTCGTAATGGAGTGAAAGACAGCAGCTTCTTTGCCAACCCAGTTGAGATCTCCCCTCCATACTGCTCTCAGGGACGGCAGCCCACTGCAAGCGGTGATCTCCGAATGGAGACAACCCCCAGCAAAGCTTTGCGCAGCCGCTTACAGGAGGAGGGGCACTCAGACCGTGGTAGCAGTGGGAGTGTTTCTGAGTACGAGATTCAGATAGAGGGGGACCAGGAACAAGGGGACCTGCTGGTGAGGGAGAGCCAGATCACCGAGGTGAAAGTGAAGATGGAGAAGTCCGACCGGCCCAGCTGTTCTGACAGCTCCTCCCTGGGTGATGATGGGTACCACACCGAGATGGTTGATGGGGAACAAGTTGTGGCAGTGAACGTGGGCTCCTATGGTTCTGTGCTCCAGCATGCATATTCCTACTCCCAAGCAGCCTCACAGCCGACCAGTGTCTCAGACGCTTTCGGAAATTTGAGTAATTCCAGCCCATCTAGGTCCATGCTGAGCTGTTTCCGAGGAGGGCGTGCCCGCCAGAAGCGGGCTTTGTCTGTCCACCTGCATAGTGATCTGCAGGGCCTGGTGCAGGGGTCTGACAGTGAAGCCATGATGAACAACCCTGGGTATGAGAGCAGTCCCCGGGAGAGGAGTGCGAGAGGTCATTGGTACCCGTACAATGAGAGGTTGATCTGTATTTACTGTGGAAAGTCCTTCAACCAGAAAGGAAGCCTTGACAGGCACATGCGACTCCATATGGGAATCACCCCCTTTGTGTGCAAGTTCTGTGGGAAGAAGTACACACGGAAGGACCAACTGGAATACCACATCCGGGGCCATACTGATGATAAACCATTCCGCTGTGAGATCTGTGGCAAGTGCTTTCCATTCCAAGGTACCCTCAACCAGCACCTGCGGAAAAACCACCCGGGTGTCGCTGAAGTCAGGAGTCGCATTGAGTCCCCAGAGAGAACAGATATGTATGTGGAACAGAAACTAGAAAATGATGCATCAGCCTCGGAGATGGGCCTAGATTCCCGGATGGAAATTCACACAGTGTCTGATGCTCCCGATTAAGGTGGTAAAGAAGTGCACCCAAACAAAGCACATTAATCAATGCATATTTGTGATTTGCTTTGTTGTAATCTTTGGTTTTCTTAACCATCTGGAAATCTCTTGGTCTCTTGGCAGTTTTTCTAAAGTTTCTGGATGGAACACTTCATTGTGTTTATCCTTTCCCCTGTCTTCCTTCCCCGAAGGAGCTCAAAGCATGAAGGGCAACGCATCCAGGGAAAACACAGGCTGACAGTATTCCTCTTTGGCTGAACTCTTAATCCAAAATCTGCCAGTGATCTAGCTAACTGGTTGACCCTCCATTCTCTGCCAAGAGGCATCTCTCTCATTGTGAGCGCTGGCAGCAGTGCATCTCCATGGAGAGAGACTAGGGTGCCGTCAGCTGATACAAATGGGTAACCTTTTCTAATTTAAAATTCCTTTTAGGGGGTAGTTAGACAATTTATATATATATATATAATAAAATTATTATTATATATAGTATATATACATTATCAAATTTGATTTTATTCTGGTTGAGGTGAATGTAAGAGGAATATATAATTTAATACAATGTGAACAGGGCTTTTGACTCTGTCTCATCCCTACCTAATATGTTAGGGTTTTACCCCTTCATTTCCCTTACAAAGGAATGTTAGTGGTTTTCATATATATTAATCATTGTGTCCAAAAGCAAGCAAAGCAAATCACAGTGTTCATAGCTCTGCTTCATAACAAATACATAAACCAAATGCCATAAAATTTCTTCAACTCTAGTTGGAAACCGTTTGGAATTTTTGTTAGTTGTCCAGCAGGTAAGCTGGATGACCTGTGGTGCTGATCTTTTTACATAGTGTAGTGTTATATTACCCAACCCCAAAGGAGCAGTGGTTTTCAAGGTTTTTACTGGCCTACAAATCTACCTTCATTCCGTACTGTAGAAACATACATACCAGGTAACTAAATCAAATCACTCTCTACCATGAGTTAGTACTCACACTAAAGGAAAGGGATTTGTAGTTTTGTCTACACAATTCTTCAAGCAGTGTTGTGGGTTTTCTGGGTTTTTTTGTTTTGTTTTTCCCTTTCTCTTTTCAAACAGCCAGTTCAGGTGCACAGCAACTTTTTCTACATGCAGTTCCCACGGAAACTGCAGAACTTGGAATTTGTATTTTTTGTAAAGCTATACTCTATGGGAATTGCAAGCAATATATCTATCTTAGTATTGTGTGTGCTAATGAGAGCCTCAGTGGCTCCCCACTCTCTCAGTGTTTCCTGCTTAAAGAACCAACAGTTAAAAAGCCCTCTGAGATACTCAGTGTGTCACCAAATCTGTGTGTGTCACCATTTTTTTGGTCATGTGGTGCTATTTTTATGTTAAATGTCTTTTAGGTCAGTATAGTTGTAGAAAATGTGAAATCTAATGGTAATAGTGGATTACAGTTGTTTTCCTCTCTTGAGTTCATAGCTTGAAAAGAGACCTCAAAAGCATATGCCAGCAAACACATTACTGTATGAAAATATACCCATGTCCTGTTTGAATAATGTTTTATCAGTACTTTTGGAAGTGTCTTCAGTTCTGGATTGTGTTCGCATATAGGAACAGTCTTTACAAGATTGCTTTGATACTGTATACTCTGGCAGAGAGTCATTTCGTGACAGTTTGGTGGTAAGTTTGTGCTGCAGGCTGCTGGTGGGATGTCAGTGCTTCGATCTCTCTGCCTGAGAACCTGGGCTCTGAGACCCACAACCAGTGTGTCTCCATGGAAGAACGGCGCAGCCACCTAAAGAAACCAGAAATCAAAGACCAGCCTCAGAGGCTAGCAGTTCAAGGCATACGGAAATAGATGTTTGCTGGTGTTCCATGCTTTTTTGGCTCTTAAAATACCAATGGTGGATTTTTGCTGTTTTGTTTTTGTTTTTTTAAGAAAAAAAGTCATTCGAGCCCTTCTTGTGTAATAACCCCCCGGGGGTGGTAGCCGTGCAGTAGCATCTCTTTAGCACACAGAATCTGTTCATGTGTGAACTGCTGCGCTACACATCAGTGTTAACTCCGTGCAGATTACACTCTAATCCGCTGCTCCTGAGGAGCGGCTTTTGTTAAATCGGGTATATAGTATGCCTTTTTCCTCGTCAAACTGCCTAAGTAGGGGTTTGTTCTCTCCCTGGAGCACTTGTTCAGTTCCTGTTAAAGCCTCGTGCCTCAAGGGGAGGCTGGACCCCAAGTGTTTACCCACTTAAATATGTTCTGGGGTTTCAGGTAAATGTTTGTGATTTTTTTTTTTTCTTACATGAGTAAGTTTGGTTTTGATTTTTTTTTTAAAGATTTAAATGCAAAAAATTTGTGTTGTGATACAAAGTAAGTCTGTGACAAGAAATGCCGAAATCCAAGGACATAAGAGGTCAAGCTCAGGAAAGGAACCTCCTTTTCACTCAGGCTTGGGGCCTTCTGCAAGGTCTCCACAGCATTCTGCAGTATGCAAGAGGAGTTAGGAGGCGAGAGCACCCGGGGCAGGCACCTCCAACGTCCTGGCTCTTGTCATTGTGTCCGTCTTAACCTTATTTACATGGAGTTATTTGTATTTGTAAATTTGTTTAACTGGTTTGAGTTTACCAAAGAGTGACTTATCCAAAATTGTCTTTGACAAAAATATACATTGCTTTGATTGTACAGTTCAGGTTCAAACATTGTAATGGGACTGTTAAGGGGCAGAAAATTGATTGAGTTTCTCTCTAATAATCATGATTCCACATTTAGCAAGTTCCACTTGCTCCCATTCGTGTTGCTAACACTTTCCCCTTTCCACTGCTCGCAGTGTTAAGAATGAATTCTCAAGCCATAACACAGTACTGTAAAGTTCCGCAGGGCTTCGAGGGAGGCAGCGCTAGGCCAGCACGGAGCTGTGTAGCCTCTCTGAGCATTTGTACTGTCGTGCTTCCCAGGGGCATGACTGGTGAGAGATTAACTCCATTCAGATCGGGCAGCAGCAATTAATTGTGCCTTGCCGCGTGAGGATGTGCCAGGAGGATTAACATGACCACAGAACAGAAACATTCTCTCCCTGAAGTTCACGTCACGTCTCCGCAGACGAAGTACGCTGTGTAACTCCTTAGAGCAACTCTTTTTGGAAAGCAAAGTCCCTATTTCTGTACAGTTTTAGGTTAGGTGTTTCATTTATAACAAATGCAGAAATCAATAAGATAAAGTGATATGTGAAGAAATCTTTTGCAGTAAAATATATCCTGAATTCATATAGGCTTGTTCATAATTGAGTCTCTTCTTGAGCTACCTTTTCAATATTAGACAATGTGAAGACAGTGACAGCGTCCTTTTCTAGAGATGTTTAGCCTGTTATTACAAACTGTGAAAACAAAGAATTTTATACTTTTGCTAATGTGTGTGGTTTTAAACAGTTATTTTCATTCTAATCAGTTCTATACCCTCTAATTTCTACTAAAGCTGTAAATACATTTAGAAATTATATTTGTAAATACAGTATATGGAGACAAGTTAATTTTTTGGTCAGTGGAAAGCCTCCCAACCAATTGGCTCTGCTTTGGCAGTTGTGTTCATTTTGTTTTGTTTTGTTTTTGTTTTTTTTTTTTGGGTTTCTTCTTTTTTTTAGTTTTTGGGGTTTTTTAAAACAGAAAGGATACTGTCGGTTCACTGTTAAGCAGAATATACTGTAGAACTAAATTGATAATTTTAAAATCTTCCAGAGCATGAGTAAATGTCTTTTCTAATGATAGCAGTTATAACCAACTCTTTGTTTTCCCTTAGCCCAGACCATAGGCCTGCATATTTTGTGTCTGGTTTTGTTTTTATTTTTGTTTTTACAGCCAATTTGCAGGAACACAGAACAAGGGCTGGGGGGAAAATCATCTATGTGAATGAGCTTTACTTTAAAGAGATCAATGTATTTTATTTTAACAACTTTTTCTATCAGTTACTGTGATTTTTTTGTTGTTGTTGTCGATGTCATTATTGTTAAATTCTATAATGGTTTCCTGTGAAGCCTCCACTGAAAGGGACTCAAATATGCAACACCTAAACTATTTTCCAAGGGCACACGCCCCTTGAATGGTGCTTCTAGACTGGTCAGGGTTATTTATTAAATTTTATATATGAAAGTATTGGGGAATTATGTAAATTCTTTATATGAAACTATCTAGTTCTTAAATCATAGATTTCATATTACTCAGTGCAACTGAACTAAAAGTTCAGAAAAGTCATTCACATTGTTCCAAATTTGTAATGGTTGTCACATGTCACATGCGTCTTTTTCAGTAAGTGCCAGAGTGTTCCCACTGTTTCTGCCCAGTGCTTGACTTCTCAGCCCAGAAGAGAACCTGTTTTCTCTGGTTCCCTCCCTGGGTCTGGCACCGACAGGGCTATTGTAGTTCTTGATCAAGACCAGGAGTCAGCCTTGCTTGGCGCTCCGTGTAGCAGATTCAGTACACAGACCTCTTGCTGCCCCTCAGTGACAAGTATGCTGTGAATTCAACCTTGGACTTGCTGCCCAAGCCTTTGGTTGCTGCCCTGACTATTGTAAGAGGTAAACTTACCTGGTTTGTTTGAGAATGACCATATTCCTAATGTGAAAACCATCTCTCTCACCACTTTTATTAGTAGGGCTAACACTTTTTCCGTTATAAATGGTTGAGCAATTTGAATGACTTAACACAGTGTCATTATCTTGCAATATAAACTGGTAACCTCACAACTCCACACTTCATCACCATATGAAGTAAATGAAGCTAGCTAAGCGGATGCTGTATCAACTAGTAACTTGCCATTAAGGATTATTTTATAGCATGAATTTAAGACTATTTATTCAAATAATATTTTACTCTTGTATTCACTTTGTTTTAGATTCGTGACATGAATATTTCAGTGCTGCTTAATTTTGTTCTGAATTCTTGTTTCTTGCTTGTAAATGGCTTTTTTATGGTATAAATAAAGTCAATGGACATTGCTGTTTGTAAATAAAAATGCTGCTAGAGCACATGTGCCGTGGTCTCCCTGTGCGTTGGCCCCCTTGGCCTCTGTGAGTGTCACTAGTGCTGACAAACGTTTTCTGTGTCATGGTTTCTGTAACCACCGTTTTTCAAAGGTTAGGGTTTCAGCCACTGTCTTGCTGAGGAGAAGAGAAAGAAGGTGTATTTCTGACCTTTCTCTTGTGTGGCAAAGACTGCATAGTCAGGGGGCCCGGTCTGCACCGAGGCCTCCCCAGAAGGAATCACTGGTGAATACTTTCCTCGTGTGCCTGCAGAGGGACCCTCTTAGCCCCCTTGGCATGTGCCTTGCTCAGTCCCCCACAGAGCGTGGAGTTGCATGGGCTGTTTCTTCTGTCTCCACCATCTTCTCTGCTTAGCCAATTGACTGCACCCTCCTCCTCCAGGTTCCAACTCCCTCCAGCAGCCCTCCAGGCCAGGCCTCTGGAATGTAGATGCTTGTTGGGCTGTCCTCCTGCCCTTCAGAACACTGATTTCCATTTGTAACCAGATATTCATTAATGAGATTATTCAGTTAATGTTTCTCCTGCTAGCCGTTAAGCTCCCTGACAGCAGGGGTCCTAAACTCTGTGTCAGCAGGGTAGCCTTAGAACAGGGCCTGGCACCACAGTAGGTGCTCAGCGAGTGTTGTTGAGCAAATGAGCAAATGCATGCCTTCTGGAGGGTGTCTCAAGGCAGTGTGGCTGGGACACAGGCGGGATCCGACTTGGATCCCCTGGTACTATGAGCCGACTTGCACCTTGCTAATGAGTAAGGGCTGCTGTAAAGGAAGTTCTCTGCCTTCTCACCCGGGCTGTGCTATGACCAGGTAGGCGGAAGGTGGTGCATGATGTGAAAGGTCCATGTAGGAACCAGCCCCTTTTGCCAGCAGGGGCCCTGGGGATTCCCACGGTACGCAAGGGGGTGACTGGGAAAGTGCACTGATGAGCGTGACTAGGGGTCTGGCTTCCAGCCCTGCCATTGCCTGACCATGAGCTTAAGCTTGTCACTTGCCCGCTTTAGCCCCCAGTTTGTTAGCTCTGACGTGTCATAAGGTGGTTGTTGCAGATGGGTTTGTTTATTCCCCC